TATTATTAAAGTAGACCAAAGGTTATACCATCAGGATGATATTTACCTCTAAATACTGTTTGAGAGATATTTATTAATCTTTTTCAGACCACTAGTGTTAATGTCTATTTGCCTACTGTTAAACAGGCCACCTGATTTATTGATCCTTAATTAAGTACAAGTAACTGAGCCTCTAGTCATGTGCCAGATTTAAAAATTTGATCAGACATTTTACTACATGATGGTAGCCTACAGTCAAATACAATTTGAGTTATAGGTTGACACCATCTGTTTGTCACTGAATTTGAAAATCTTTTGGGAAACAGGAAAATACAGAGTGGAGAATATTAGTGAATAATGAAATTGAAGGGAAGTGTGTATCTACAGTGACAACAGAAAAGACCATATTACTTTTGTCTCCTATAAATTAACTTCTGTTCTTGAGTTCTATTCTGTGGAGTCTGGGGCACCAGTATGTGGACTAGYCCATGCCTAGTTACCAGACTGTGTTTGGTGGTTTCTGTTTCAGATCCTGCTTTAGAGATGTGCCTGCCATTCAGGTAGGTCACCGCTGAGCTCTGGAATTAGAGACTCAGATTTGCCCAACACTGTTCAGGGCAGAGCAGGGCGGACAGCATTGTCAAGAAGCCATAAAGAAAAACTGCTAAGTGGCCACTAGGTGCCACCTTTCCTTTCTCACAGTGCTGTGTTTTGATGAGATTAATTTTCCCCAGCTCCCTGGGGCCTGTGAGAGACATTATTTAAGATTTCTGTGCCTAGAATGAGTCAGCTTCTCTGGTGTGGGTTGGTTGATGAGAAATGCTTTCCAAGGGAGGTCTGGGGACGCCTTCTCACATAATATAAGAACTTTGGTGTAGGGAGCTTCCCAGATGTGCTGCTCGTGAGAACTGACCTTAGCAAACCGTCCAGTCTGGGGTAGGCTCTCTGAACCCGATGCTCATATGTTCTCAAGTGTAGATTTGCCTTTTCTACAGTTTTTAGCTCTCTCCAGTTCACTTGCTCTTGTCTGTATATTGATATTTTTAAAATTTTGTGGTAAATAATAGTGAAATTAAATTATATTTTGTAATAATTACTACTTTGTAGCTTTTTTTAAATTAATACACTTTCAAAAAGTGTGTCTTTGATTCTGTGTGTGCGTGTGTGTGTGTGTGTGTGACAGACACAGAGACTGGGGATTGAACACAGGGCACTCTATCACTAACTTACATCCTGGGCCCTTTTTGAAGTGGGGTCTCACTATCCCTCAGCCTCCAGAGTAGYTGGGGTTACAGGTGTGCACCACTATGCCTGGCACTTAGCTATTTTCTAGTGTATAAACATAGGTGGGGTTCAAGACCTCATGTTCTCAAACCACTAGGCAGGGGGTTATGATGAARAATGTTACTGCATAGATTTGGGGTACATTCACAGGCTTTCCTTATGGCTACAAGTTCAAAGACCCCGTGGTTTAACCAATAAAGGTTTCTTCCAGCTCATATCACAGCTGATGCTGTCAGCACTTTGCCCCTCTGACTCTCCCTCTTTCCACCAATGGGTTTTAGCCTCTGGTGGACCCTCTCTCCATAATGACGCTCAGAAGCCCCAAGTGTGTATTTTATAAYGGGCCATCTCAATAGAAAGAGAGCTTCTCTATTTGTTAGTAATTTACTAAAAAATGCC